TATTGGTTGTTTTCTACCTCAACACCAAGCACTTTAGTTGGTAATACTGGAATAGTGAAGTTTCCTGCCATTTGGAAATTTAAAACTTGCTATCATTATGCTTTGCTTCACTACAGAAGAGCTTCACAATTTTTCTTAACCAACTTTTTCGGTATATGACTGCCAAGGTTGTATTGTGAGGAATTCTCTTAGGGTTAAAATTTAGCCTCTGAATCTGGGGGAGCCGAGCACTAAGTTGTTCAGCCAATTTACTGATTTTTCTTGTTTTTCTTTTCCTGTTATCTGGAGCCCTCAAACCAAAACATAAGCTAGCAGGCATTTCTCATAGAACAGGAATTCAAAAATGAGCTCTCCATGATGCAGTGTGTACTCTTTGGAGTTCACAGGGTTTTTATAATCAATGTTTGCCTTCCTCTCTCATGATGACCCTCAAATATAATGACAGTAATGAACTAGCAAACTTGGATATGTCCTTCTAAACTCCATAAAAAGTAAACATAAAAATCTTAATTGATTTTATTACAGTTCAGTCAGATTGCATGTTGTGGTTTTTTTTTTTTCCAACAAAGTAATGAAAATGTGTCGAATATCTACTATGTGAAAAGCACTGTGCTTGCTGCTGAAGAGGAATCTAAGTACATGTTACATGTGGTCCTATGTACATCAGCTTTGTCGGATATAGGAGCCTCTACATTTTATTCTGTGTCTGTGATTGAGAAAGTCATTCTACTCTGAGAACCATAAGCTAGTCATTTGTGTATGCGACTTTAATTATCTAATTGAAGAGTTCTGACTCAGAAAAGGGAGACCACAGTGGGAATAGCTGTATGTTCTGACCATCTTTAGCATCCTTGACTGTCATTTTAAGGAAACAGTGATGAGCAAAACCTGCAATCAGGGATATTTGCCAATGGTCATTGAGAAGACTGAATTTGCAGATAGTCACTGAGAAAATTTAGTGCTATTGTGAAGAAGTCTTTGGGAATCTTTGGCACAGGCTCTTGCTGACTTTTTTTCTGGTATAATTATTATTACACTGTTATTATTGAATTATTATTGATATAACGATACCAATAATATATCTGGTACAATTGAATGCAATTAGTATTGAATTAATTATTCAACTGGATAGTATTTATTCTTTTTCTATTATATGGAAGAGTTTATATAAGAATAGGCTTGTTTGTTTCTTAAATGTTAGGAAGAATTCACTGGTGAAGATTTCTCATCTGTGTATTTCCTTTGGGGAAATATTTTAATAACAGATGCAATTTCTTTTGTAGATACAGGCCTATTCAGATTTGGTAATTCTTCTTGTGTTAGTTTTTTAATTGTGTTCCTTCAGGAGTCTGTCATCAAAATTTTCCTACTTATTGGCACAGAGGATATTGGCACAGTATCCTATACTTTTAATACTTTAAAAAATAGCCATAGGATTTTCTTTGGCTATCATCTAAAATGCATGCATACAGCTTGTAATATTTGAAATATAATTTTTATGCTCATATGTTTATTAGATCTTTAAATAACTAAAATGATAAAATATATATTTTTGTTTATATATTCATTGTATATATATTTATATGCAATTACTTAAAATATATAAAATAATTATAAATGATGTATATACTATATTTTTATATGTAGCATTTATATGTTATTTTTTGTTTTATGTATTTTATGCATACATTCACAATTATCTAAATATTCTTATAAAATATTTTAATGTGTGCATATTTAAAATACATAACATATCAAAACTTGTGTTAGACAAGAGAAATTTTCATTTTCACTCAGTCAGGACCTGAGCTGCTCTGAGCCAGGTTACAATTTTTGTAAGACTCCTCTTAACTCATGTCTATACTGCTCCAAGGGTTAGTCTCTAGAGATTGGGGGTGTTTACTGAAATCCCCAACTCGCTGGTGGGTTCCGAACTGCAATATTTATTTCCTAGGCCCAGTAAAACTGCTGAAAACTCTGTTTTAATTTTCAGAGTCTCAGTTTCTTAACCTCTTGCTTCACAGCTGAAGAATTTGGTAAAGACCTTGACCTTGTGCTCACTTGTTCATCCTCCCCTTTTTTACGGGATGTAAGCTGCCTTGAGGCCCTGAATTCAATTTTTGTCTCTCCATTGCTGTCAAACTGAGATGCTCAGCTGGCCTATTGGCCTCCTGGCCCAGGTCTTGACCTAGATTTTTCACCTTTTACCCAATGTCAACAATCAGCAACTGCTCCAAGGGAAAAACGGGTCTAAGAAGTAGGCTTATCTTTCCTTGGTTCTCTTCTCTCCGACATCTTGGCCCCTCAATTTCTGGTTGTCTCAGCAGCTTTGTGCTGCTTTCAAACTTATAATTGTGTGTTTTATCTCACTTTTCTCGTTGTTCTTGACAGGGGTTTCATTGTACTCTTGTGTACTCAACATAGCTAGAGTGGAAATCCTGGCATGACTAACACAATTTTTCACTGAGTATTTCTGTGTGGTATTTACAGTGCTAAGGTCTCTTTTTAATTAACACAAGACAATTTTATTGTCTTGTAATTATAATTTGGATGAATATTATATTATACATAATAGTAAACATGCATTATCTAAGTGTATAAAGGTTTAGAAAACTTATTTATGGATAATGTTTAAAAATATAACAGATCCTCACACTTATAAGTCCAAGTCTATGTTTATGAAAGCATTCTAGTTACAGAACTAATTTTATGAAACTAATTTTTGTTCACAATCCACGTATATACTTTTTATTTTGGGTTATTACTATTGTTGAAGCAATATTATTAACAAGCCCCATTCATATTTCCTATTCCAGCATCACTTTCAATAAGCCATGTAGTTCAATATGACAATGTAGTATATCAGTTTAGACATAAGCAAGTACACATTAGACACATTGATATACAAATTATTCATACTATTTTAAAATGACAGAATAGAAATCATGAAATATTTACTTTAATCCCTGATTTTAGTATAATAATTCATTAAATACACTGTGCCTGTATAAGTGGAGTATTTTTTAAAGGCTCATTGACAAATTTTGAGGTCTTCAGAAAAGTGATAATGTTAAATCAATCAGATTTTCAAGCCAATTGGATATGAACCTAGAATTTGGAGGTAATAGTGATGGACAAAGATTAAATAGCCCTTTATTAATCAGCCAGTAGCAAAAGCCCCACTGCCTTTGAAAAATATTGATTGAAGCTGATTGATGGACTTCATGGATGGAAAGAGAAACAGGAACTGGATATATCAACTCACGAAGCTAGGCTCATTCATTAAGGAGATGTAAATAAAGTTGTACTATTTATACATGCTGTCTGATTCACTTCAAATATGTTTTTATTTTAATAGTTTTCCAGTCTTTCTGTCTACATTGTGCTAAAAATACATATGCTGAAATAATATCTTTATGCACAGAAATGGAAAAAGGGGAAGGTAATTGTGCAGTCAGTTGTTCTTTTAAGCCAATTAAATTCCTTCACAGGGCGATGCCTCTTTGTGCTCCCCGATGCTTGCACTATGTGTTCACTCATCAACATATAGTTCTGCCCTTTCATTTGACATCGATGGGGAAACCGCAAACTATTAATGCAGCTGCCATACCATTTCGAGTGCAGATATTATTATTATTATGTATGCACTAAATCAACCAATATTGATCTACTATGGAGCATGTATGGACAGAATGTTGTGCAGACACTGGGGAAAATACAAAAGAGGAGCTTAAAGCCTACTGTATCTACTATGAACCTATGCGCGCTCTGTATTCATATCAAAACCCCATCTTGGCTCTTAAGACTCTTAGGGAAATTACAGCCTAAAATTAAGATTTGAATACTTGGTTCTACCTATCCTCTCTCTCCAGCATATGATGCCATTTTCCATTGCCAAAGAGAAGCAAGGCACTGAGGTCATTAACTTCAGTCGTGTCTAAATCACAGGGTCTGATAAATCACAGGGCTAATTTCTTTCACCTCATATGTTCATTAAAGGTCTGACCACAGAGGGATGTTCAGAGGAATGGCAGGAATGAGTTTCTCATCAAAAGGAGAAAAAGAGCCTTTATAAGATCTTTCACTTTGTAAACAGATATGCACATGATGCAGCTTACTGACCTCCACCCTCCATCACTGCTGCTCTGTTTAAATTTCCAGCATATCACAAAGGGAAAAACTAGACCTCCTGTTTAGAAAGCTACTTTAGCTACTGTAAAATTGTGGTCTGACTAGGCAAAAATTAGGAACACCAGAGTACAAGTTTCCTGGGCAGTAAGGAGGAGAGGCTTTTCTTATCTTGTGCATCTTACAGCATAGCTAACTTCAGGATGAGCTGTGGGTACAACCACTGGGGAGGTGCAGAAATCAATCTTGTAACCAGCTCTTCCTTCTAACACCTGAGCAAGCCCTACTCATAGCAGTCTCCACAGCCATCCTCTACCTTTACTTTCCTCTCAACGCCCACCCTCATACTTGTCCAGAGTCTCTGGGTACCACTGGGAGAAGGCTTTGGCCTGGGGGACCGCAGCTAGAATGATGTCAGTGAAAGCACTGCTGTTTATTATATTGATGTTTAAGAAGAGACAATGGACCAGAAATATGGGCCTGGAAAAGTAGATAATAAATTTCAAGAGAATATACTCATATATGAGGAAGTTGGTGAGTCGGATACATTAGGTAAATGAAATTTGCATGATTTTTATTGTTTTCTTTGTGAATTCAAGTTGCTGGTGGCTGGCCAGCAAGTAAGGAGAAGTGCTAGGCAGAGGAAAAGCTAGTTCAGGAAGTTTCTGTGGCAGGTGAGTTTGTAGTGGACTGAACATTTGTGTTTCCCACCCAAAATCATAAGTTGAAATCCTAACTCCTAATGAGATGGCACTAGGAGGTGGGGTCTCCGGGAGAAGACTAGGCCATGAGGATGGACTCTTCATGAATGAATATAATGCTTTTATTATAAAAAGGGCCACAGAGAGTTCTCTTTCTTTCTTCCACCATAGGAGGACATAGGAGGAAGATGTGATATATGAACCAGGAAGCAGGCCCTCTCCAGACACTGGATCTGCAGGCACCTTGATCTTGGACTTCTCAGCCTCCAGGATGGTGAGAAATGGATATTGTTGTTTAAGTGATCTACTCTGTGGTATTTTTGTCATAGCAACCCAAACAAAGTAAGACAGAGATATTTTTTAGAGATGTGGTCTCTCTGTGTTTCCCAGGCTGGTGTTGAATCAAACTTCTGACCTTAAACGATGCTTTCACCTCAGCCTCTTGAGTAGCTGGGATTGTAGGTGCATGCCTGAAACATAATATAAAATCAAGTACTTATGGATTATTTTATTTAATAAACACTTGAATAGAACTTAATTGGTGATATACTCTGCCATAAAAACTAAAAATATTAACTAATAGCAACTCTAGGAGTTTGGTTCTGTTATTGTGCCTGTACTATATAGGAAGGAAACTGAACAATCAAGAGGTTACGTGGCTTTGCCAAGGCTCATAACCAAAAAGTTGCAGGGCAGGGCTTGCATTAGGCAGGCTGCTGCTAACCTGGTGCCCTGAAGCACTTTACGGAATCTCAACAAGGCTTACTTAACCAAAAGTTAGGGGATGGATCTTGCTTTCAATGAGAACAGAGACAACTTCTCCCAAGACTAGCTGTTTAGGGAGCACTAGCTCAGCTTTGGGCTTGGGAGTGGAAAAAAGATGAAATCCTAAAAAAGAAATTTCCAGCATCAGATTTAGAAGGAGGAGGGTAAAAACAGGTGTGGCTGAAAAGGGAGACCACTCATGGAGTGACGTGAAACAGAGAACCCATGACTGCGGAATTTGGAGAAAACCGGAGTCCCTGGCATTTTGGCCTTGGGCTGACCCAGGAGTAACTCTCATGGGAGAGGCACTGCAAGGCAAGTGGAATTACAGGGTAAAACATTTTATGCCAAAAAAGAAAAATCTGGGAAACAAGCAGCCCCGAATGACCTAGAAGAAAAGGCGTGGGGCAGGAGCTGATGGAAGGCACTAGGATTTCTAGTTTGGCAGGCTCTCTCAGGCACAAGTCTGATCATTTTACCCCTACCCTCCACATCACAATCTCCTTTTCCCTATCCCTGCTTCTCTCCTGCCTCATCCATTCAAACCACTCATGTAGCTACTGCGTCTTCTCCTTGGGACGGCCACCCTGCATATATTCCTCCAAGCCTTGATGACTTCTCCTAGCCACACAGCCTGAACTTAGCTTCATGCCCCAGTGGCTACTTTTTTAGGCGAACAGAGTCACGCATCACTTGGCAACAGGAATACGTTCTGAAGGACATGTCAGGCGATTCCATCATTGTGTGAACACGAACAACATAGCATGTACTCACACAGACCTAGGTGATGTAGCCTACTGCACGCCCAGGCCATGTGGTAGAGCTACAAACAGCTCTCTTAGGCTGTAAACCTGTACAGCATGTGATTGTTATGAATATTACATGAAATTGTAATATAATGGCAAGGATTTGTGTATCTAACATAGAAAAGCTACATAAAAACACGGTATCTAATCTTATGGGACCACTATCGTGTGTGTGGTTTGTCATTGACCGAAATTTTATGTTATGACTGTATGTGGATACTTAAGAGTGCACTATCTAATTTATTATGAGGGTAAGAATTAAATTTAATTCAGTGAATACAAAAGAACAAATCTATGACAGTTAGATTCATAAACAATAACAAAACATCATTTGTACTATCATGTTTATTGTTATAATAGATTACTAATACTTGCTAAAAAGAGTCAGACATGTCACAGTTAATCTTTACAATAACCCTGTGTAATAGTCATACTTCCTATATTTAAATGAGGAAACTAAAACTTAAGGAGTTTAAGTAATTTGCCAAGGGTGGTAAGTACGTGAGCTAGGATTTAAACTCAGATTTATTACAAGCCTTTGGTCTCAACCGTTAGGTTATATCGGTTCAGATATAAATTTAAACCGGGACTCATAAGAATACATGTGCAGAAGATATATGTAGTTAGGTGAGATTGTTAATTATTTCTATGTATAAGAACCTCCTTTTTACCATTGATAAAATGGGGATGAGAATTACCTAGCTCACCGGATTTAAGCTAGACACTATTAATGAAAATGCCTTATAAACACTGAAGTGTAAATAATTACAAAATGCTACTATAATGGATTGATGCTGGCTATTGTAGGCAGACATGCACATATCTATACTTATACATACATATATTGGCAGTAGGTTACAGCTTGCGTGAGTGACTGGGCAAGCCATATGTAACCAGTCAATTAGTGCACTGAAAATCCATGTGCAATTCATATCTCATCGGTACTACTGTAGAGAAAAAAACAACAGAAAAATTTTCCATGATGTATCAGATTAAGAACGAAGAGCTAATGAATTAGAGGAGAAATCAAGAGGGAATAAACTTACAAAAAGAGTTTCCTAACCATCTAGTTTAATGAACTCACTAAAACTTTGAAAAGAAAGGGGCAACTGATTTAACTATTTCATAAGAAAATGTTTGAGAGAAATTTTGAATTTTTATCTGATTTAATAAATGTGAGACCCTGGGATCTCGTAGTTTTCTTCCTAGCTATTGACATTTATGAACTTTGGACACCTTGATGCGTCACTAAATAATTTGCCTTTTCTTTCAATGTAGAAAATCTTTAGATGAGTCCATTTTAATTCAAAATTTGTGTATCCAGTGCTTTTTGTTTATTTATTTAGACTTCCAGGGTCAAAATTCTACCACTGAAAGTAAAAGCACGTAACATCCAATAAGAACTTTAACAAAGATAATTCGTATTTACATCTTTTTTGTTCTGGAGCAGATTTTGAAGTTTCTAGTCAGCGTTTTTCAGAGACCTCATTCTAAAAATTATTTATCTGTGTCCAGCTCAACACCTCTGCGAGTAAATCACTCACCAATAAACTTGACTTCCTGGACGGAGAACTGTAAGGAATGGGTCACAGGCGATGTGAATCTGCAACAGCAAATGTCATGGATGTTTGCTTGTTGCAGCTTGCTAAGATGACCCAAATCCAGCAGAGATTTTGCTTTCCTGCTAACCACTGTTTTTCCTTGCCATTTTTCTCTCTTTTCCCCTCTTTTGGGTAGTGTAAAATGTCTTTCAAAGCAAAAGTTAGTATTCAAATTGTTTTCTGCTAAATCCAGTAAATCTAACAAATTTTGACTGATGCCTGCTAAGTACAAATGCTAAGAGCAGCATGTGAATCTGAGGATTTTCAAAAAGGGATTCTGCAATTAGCATGGGGTCCTGTATTCTTCCAGCAGGTAGTAAAAAAGAGAAACATCTAACAGTAGGGTTTATATCTCACCAAATATCAAGCAGACCTAAAATATGCATTAGAATCTTGGCTTCCCTTTATGTCTGGGGGTGATCTTGTAAGTTTCCGTCCTGGGCATGGAAGAGAAAATGCTCCTCTTCCCAGGGAGACGTGAAGGCCCCAATGACTGCGGCGTTGCCAGGGGCTGGCTGTGAGGCAGGCAGGAGCCAGCCCTCATTCAGTGCACACTGCCTATGTGCAGAATGCTGCAGGAACATGCAGTGAATAGACAGAGAAGGACAGATTTGTAAGCTGCATGTGGAACTTTATGCCTTGTAATTCTGAACTGTGCCTCTTTGATTCTTAAAATCCCCTTCTGAAAATATGGTGAGTCACGCCTCTGACCGTGGCCTGTCTGCTCCTGCACTGTGAAACTGTTTGAATCTTGGAGGAGCAGAAGCATTAAGTGCCATGTTGGTTTTAATTAAATTTTGAAAAAGACTCAACCATATCCTGCTTTTTCCTTCCATCAGGGATCCTACAATTATTAAATTAGGCTGGTGGTGTCTACTTTCAGAATCATGAATTTTTACCAGCAGATAATTTCTCTTTTTATTGTTGGATATTTTCTTGGTGCATTTTACGGCTCTCATCCTTGGCAGAGTTAATCTGGTTTTCGTCAGCCACAGTTCTGCTTGTTAATCTATTTATGGATTTTTACATAGTTTCTCCTTGGATGGTAAGTGTATTACCTCCAAGGATTCCTTTCAAGCCGCTTAGTAGAGCTTGCTCCTCTTTTTCTCTGTCCATAGTGTGTGTTTGTATCACCCCTGCCCTGCTAGCCTTTTGAACATTTTATTTCAGGGCTTTGCTGAAATGCTGTTGGAGGACCATATTCACAAAGCAGGCATATTTCTGAAAAGCTTTGTGTAAGTTGATTTACATTTTTTTTAATGAATGTTCTTACTTGTCTATAAATTTATCCAACCATTTATAGATCTCTTTTTCTGTGTCTGGTACCCTGTTAAGCACAGCGAGGGATACAAACAAATACACACACTCACCCCCCTCCCACATACCCTAAAATGGGAAAATATAATGCCATTTTTGAATTCTACCAAATGTTGAAAAAGAATTAACCTCAATCTTTTGCAGAAGAGGAAATATTCCCAACTCTTCGTATTAGGCCAGTACTCTGATACCAAAGCCACACAAAGACATCACAAGAAAGTAACTACTGCCCATATCCCTTGTGAATAGAGATGCAAAAAAGTTCAATAATAGTGAGCAAACTGATTTTGATAGCATATTAAAAGAATTATACCACATGTCCAAGTGGGATTTATCCTAGGAATGTGTGGGTGGTTCCACACACAAGCATCCACTAGTGTAACACACTAGTATTAGTAGAATGGAGAAAATGAAGTATGTGATCATATTGATGCAGAAAAAAGCACCTGATAAAATATAACACTGTTTCATGATTCTTTTTTTAAAAAACCCGTAACTAACTAGAAATAGAAGAGAACTTCCTAAACATGATAAAGGGCATTAATGAAAAACCCACAGCCAACCTTATACTTACTAGTGAAAGACTGAAAGCTGTCCTCCTATGATCAGGAATGAAACAAAGATGTCTGCTCTCACCACTTCTATTCAACACTGTACTGGAAGTTCTAGCCAGAGAAATTAGGCAAGAGAAAAAAATAGAAGCCATCCATATTGGAAAGGAAGAAGTAAAATGATCCCTTTCCACAAATGACATGACCTTGCAGAAAATTCTAAGGAATTCACCAATAAAACTATTGAGACTAATAAATAAAATTAGAAAAGTTTCAGGACATAAGACATATAAAAAGTCAGTTGTATGTCTTTACGCTAGCAATGATCCATCAAAAAATAAACTTTAGAACATTCCATTTACAATATCTTCAAAAGAATAAAGTGTTCAGGAATAAATTTCACCAAATATAAATTTATATTTGCCCA